TCAATGTAAACCCTATCCTGAGCTCTGGATCTATATGTGGAAGACTGAATCAATGGAAGTGGAATCTTAACTAGGTGGTTTGGTTCAGTTCAGTTTGGTTTAGTTTGGTTTGGTTTTTCCAAGACAGAGTTTCTCTGTATAATAGCCCTGGCTGTCCTGGAACTCGCTTTTGTAGACCAGGCTGGTCTCAAACTCACAGAGATCTTTCTACCACTGTCTCCCCGGGTGCTGGGATTAAAGGTATGGCCACCACACTTGACTTGAAACTAAGTTCTTTGACTCTTTTCTTTCAAAGTGAGCCCTGAACAGTAAATACTAGCAAAGTAAATGCAACAAAAGCCTTGAGAATTATTGAGAGAAAAATAATAAAAATTTAAGTTATCATTTTCCTTCTTTTTTCCCCCCCATTCAAATGCCCCATGCAGGGTTGGCATGGAAACGTGGTCATCTGCTCAGTGTCTTGAAGCACATACACAATGCTGTGCCTACAGCCACTGGTACAAATACACACCCCCAGACAATACACTATCTGGCTTTCAGCTTGCTGAACTTTGTCACAGGGGCAATCGTGAGCTAGCTAACACAGTATCATTTATTTGATCAAATCTTAGATTCATCTACACTTGGTGAAGACCAGTTTTGCTTGCTGCTTGTTGACTTTAAGCATCATGCTACTATAATTTTTTTATATAACATCTTAAAATTATTTGCCTGTCATGTAGATGGTCCCCCTCCCCAGGACACTAGCTGCTAGTAATATCTGACTAGACCAGTTTTAAATGTGTTACTTTAGGGTTTTCTTTGCAATTTTATCAACTGTAAGAATTTGTCTTCTTGTCCCCCTTTGTTTTGTGCAATGCATTGAAAAGGGATATCCTTGCTTGTAAATCCACTCTGTGCTATCATTTATCCTGTAGGTAAACTGACTTACCAGTAAAAAACCCTTTCCTAAGGTCTTCAGTTCTAGTGCTGACTTATCTACAGCCTGTGAACTCTGTAGAAAAGCAAATAGATATCAATCATGGTAACTGTATCATCCAAAGAATCCCCTACTGCAAAAAAAACCCAAAGCTGGGGCCACAGCATAGCTCAGTGGTAGCACATCTGCCAAGCGTATCTAAGGTTCTGATTCGGATCCCCCAGCACCAAAATAACAACCATTCGCTGCATGGTCTAAACAGTGGCTCTCTGTGAGTTCAAGGCCAACCTGGTCTACAGAGTGAGGTCCAGGACAGCCAGGGCTACACAGAGAAACCCTGTCTGGAAGAAAAACAAGTTGTCAACTTTCCTAATGCTATGACCCTTTAATACATTTCTTCATATTGTGTTGACCACCAACCATTAGGTTATTTTCATTGTTACTTCATCACTGTAATTTTGCTGTTGTTATCCATTTTAATGTAACTATCTGATGTGGGGGTCGCAACCCACAGGTTGAGAACCACTAGAATGAGCTCCCCCCTCCGCCCCCCCGCCCTCGAACCATTCTCAGGCCTCCCATACACGACTGTGTCTGCCAGCACCTCCTTTGCCCTGGGCTCAGGCTGCCAGTGAATAGAGAGATGTCTATGTCATCGGGAAGCATTGAAGCAGTCCACCCAGCCAGTGCCAAGTCAGAGCTGCGAAGGGGAAGTTGCTGACATTGGACGCAGCGGCGCCCTGCAGCAAGGAGGGGAATCCCGTCTAAAGCTTCTGAAGCCTCTGGTTCTGAGCTTCTTCTAAGTGTTCTCATTTCTCAGAAAGACTTTTTTTCAGGGGGTCTGTGCTCGCAAGCACTTAAACACAGGTTGTTTTTATTGAGTTTTATTTCTCTGGTCTGGTGCCATAATCACAGGCCAAATCTATGAAGTGGAAACTGAAACTGAGCTCTTTAACTCTCTCTTTCAAAGTGAGCCCGGAACAGTGAATAAAAACTAGTGAAGTAAATGTGTCAATGGCCTTGAGAATTGCTGAAAGAAAAAATATATTTTAAGAGTGATTATTTTTTTTTTCTTTTCCATTCAACTATCCCATGTAGGTTAGCAGTGACTGGACCACTAACAGTAGGTTTGCTACTGATGTACAAACCACCCCTGTTCTGGAACAGTTTCCCACACTGGTTACATCCATAAGGGCATCCTGGGCAGGCTCCCAATCAAAACAAGAGAAGGAATCTTTGTCTTGTTTCTGTTCTCACTGGGCAGAACACAGATTGCTACTTGACATTCCCAGGCACTGGGATATGAGTGGCCTGCATGGCCACCTCAGCCAGTCATCCCAGTTGTGGAGAGAGCCATGCCAGCAAGGAACAGAATTTTTAGTTTGCATCTTAGAATGGGCATGATGGCACAGGACTTTAATCGTAAGCGTTGGGAGGCAGAGGCAGGTGGATGGGTATCTTGGAGTTCAAAATTAGCCTGATCTACATAATGAGTTCCAGGTCAGCCAGAGCTACCTAGGAAGACTTTGTCTTGAAATACCAAAATAGTAAGAGTAATAATAATAACATCAATAATAATGAAAATAATTTGTCTTAGTCTTTATCAGATTTGTTTAGCATAATCAGCTCTGCAAAATCATGTCTACTGAGGGGACAATGGGTGTTCTGAAACTGCAAAACTCAATTCCAGGTCCTACCCAGGGATAACTACCTCATGCCACTCTACCAAGTTTCTGGACTGGCTGGTTGGTTTCCTCTGTATTTGTGTGTGTGTGTGTGTGTGTGTGTGTGTTCTGTACTTACCAATGCCTCCCTTCCTGATCATTTGTTTAAGCTCACCTCACTCTTCTGTTTTGTTTCTTTGAGATGGGCTCTCTAGTCTTGGTTGCCCTAGAACTCACTATATAGACCAGTCTAGCCTTGAACTCAGAGATCCACTTGTCTCCACCTCCCAAGTGCTAGGATTGAAGGTGTGCACTACCATGTGCAACCTGTAGGTGCACTTCACTCTTGAGGGTGTGTGTGTGTGTGTGTGTGTGTGTGGTGTGTGTGTGTGTGTGTGTGTGTGTTTGAGATATGGCTTCTCTATGTGGCCCTAGCTGGCCTGGAACTCAGAGATCTGCCTGCCTCTGCCTCCCAAGTGCTGGGATTAAAGGTGTGCACCACTCTTAAGGCTCACCTAAGGTTGACTTTTCTTCAAGTGTCTTCAAAGCACTTCTGGCCTTAGGGAGCTGACTCGTAGGAACTTCCATATTAGATGCTTTTATTTCAGTCATTTGACATTAACCTTATAGTTGGTTGGGTTTTGTTATTGTTGTTGTTTTATATAGATTTGAATATGTAGGAAGAAATGCACATTTTTCTCCTAGCCACAAGGATTCCATGATATGTATGCCATACTTGCTATCAGCTGTGTCAGAATTCAGTGCAAAATGGTCTGTTCTAGTCAACAGGGCTGCCTTCAAGTACAAATGACTGTTTATTGGGCAACACACGTGTACAATGTATGCATACTACAGTAACTCGTTTTAGCATGAAATTCTGGGTAAAACAAGTCAAATTTAAACCTCTCCTAGGTATTTAGTTCCAGAAACACCAAAGAAACCTCAAAGATGACTTTGGCCAAGTGGACAGACAGAGGGAAGTCAGGAGCCTGAACCACCGGTCTGCTCTCTGGAGAGACTGCATAACCAAGTATTTGAGAGCATGGGCTACAGAGATGAAGGTTCTGGATTCTTAACGGTGTTGAATGAGAAAAAACAAACAAACCTCGTGACTAGCAGACATTTAACACTATGTAATATTTACTAAACTACATTCTCCTTAGTAAGGGACTATTTCTCCATTTGCTAACTACTTACCTCAAATCTGCTTTCCCTTCACATCTTGACTGAGAACTTGTACAATAACAAAATAAAACTGTCACCATGTATCTTTCTTTATTGTTTAATGTAAATCTGCTCAGCACCTCTTCCCACTCGAAAATTCTGAGGGTCCTACAGCACAGCATCTACTCTGCAGAAGCAGGTTGGGAGAGACTGCTCATGGCATCCTCTCACAGTGCGTTCCCTCAGCAGAAAGTCGCAAGATGAAAGTCTCTTGGCTTCTGTCTCTGCCCCATTCTCTTCCGTCTGTCCTTCCAGGTTCCACAGCTGTCCTGTGATTTGCTCCTTTGAAAACTTGGCTCTGCTCTAGTCCTTGGACTAAACCAATGTAGGATTTAGATCTCTAGAAATTTCCACCTTTCCCAAGCAGCAACTCTCTCCCTGCTCTAGTGGCGGAGTTTCTGTTTCACAGTTGCAGTTTGTGGGTACAGGTTTCATTCTTGGCCTCTGATGCCAAATTTTTAACCAGTTTACTCTGGGCTCCTATTCCCATCCCAGGACAAATCACCTCCATCCCCTACATCACTCCAACCTCTATTGGTTCCAGGTACAGGCTTAGTTGCTCTGCAGAGTGACGCCCATATTCACTTTCATCCTTGACCTGGTTAGCACACATTCACAAAGAAAACAATCAAATAATCCATGACAGAATCAGAACTAGAGTAATGATTAACTTTGCAGTCCCTCTTGGAACTCATGACTATTCCCTGCACTTGGTGTAAACATTAATGCGACACTTCACAGCTTCTGTTCTGAGTGCCTACTCTAACTCTATACAAATTCGTTAAGTTGTATAGACTTTGGATCTGGCTAAATTTGGTGTGTGGTTTGTTTTTTAAATTTATTCCAAGTATTTTATAATGAAATGTGTAAAGTAAATAAACAAATTTTGCAAAGATATAAAGCAAAAATAAATAATGAAAATGCAACAAATGTAAAAACCATGTTTAGGACCTGACTTCGTATCAGCTCTATGTTTTATTTATGAGAGAAGGAAGATGAGAATTAAAGCCATTTTCAGATGTATTCCACAAGGCACTGCATCTGTTTTCCCAAACAGCTCACGCTTTGGAAAGTGAAACCTAACTCACTCATTAAAAATCAAAAGGAGCACAGGAGGGAGGAGGGAAATTCCAAGCTCATGGGTCACAATAAACACAAGCAATGTTTAACAACGGGGGACTTCCCTCGAAGGTTTGCGGAGTCTTGCTGAGTCATCTCCAAGCTAGCCAATCAAGACTCAGGGAGGGAAACTCTTTGCAGATAAATACTCCACAGCAGCAGGGACTCAGTGAAGCACTTCACCAGCAGCTGAGAGACATCCCGATTCATCCTTCCAGAAGCCTTCCCTTTCAGCACCATGAACCCACGTGCTGCTGTCATTTTCTGCCTCATCCTGCTGAGTCTGAGTGGGACTCAAGGTAAGGGACACCAAGGCTACTTAATCAACAAAGTCAGACGATTGAGCTCAGTCTTAGACAGTCTGTATTTAAGCGTCAGTGTGTACCTATAAAGAAGAGGGAGCAGGAAGAAAGCCCTTCAGCTTGCAGACATTATCATATGCTGGTTGAAGTCAGAGAAAAATAGAATAAGAGAAAGGGAACTAAAAAGGATAGAAAGAAGGGAAAGGGGAAGGTAGGAGGGAGAAGGAGGCAGGAGAGAGGGGGAAAGAGGGAGACGGGGTAGGGCATAGATACCTCCTTACCTGAGCCTAACCCAATACTATGAGCAGTACATAAGGGCGGAATTTCATTATTGATAAGTTGCAGATCTCTCTTCACCATAATCAGACATTCAACCACTCAGCCCTATGATACAATGGGATGCATCTCTCCACAGATTATGTGACAATACAAGACAGGTTCTGCTAATCACTACCCCATCTGTTGTAAATGCCTAAAGTGAAACAGTGTGCTGACCTTTCTAGCTCTCCTCTTCCTGCAGGGATCCCTCTCTCAAGAACGGTTCGCTGCACCTGTATCAGTATTGATGACCGGCCTGTGAAACCGAGGGCCTTAGGAAAGCTTGAAATTATTCCTGCAAGTCTATCCTGCCCACAGATTGAGATCATGTGAGTACAATCCCACCTGCTGATAACGTCCCTTATGTAACCGCACAGTAAATAAGTGAGGGGGATCAGGAAAGACAGGGACTGGTGCCTGAATTCTGACATGGACCTGCAGGGTCATCAACCCTGTTGGCCTGTCGTTAACCTGAGTCTCTCACTCTTGTTTCTATAGTGCCACGATGAAAAAGAGTGATGAGAAGAGGTGTCTGAATCCGGAATCTGAGGCCATCAAGAATTTATTGAAAGCAGTTAGCCAAAAAAGGTTGGTTTGCTGTTGTTTTTTCAGGAAACGGCAGTCTGGGAAGTAGCATCTGCCCTGGGCTTTGCTGTGGGGTGTTTGCCTTAAACTCATGCCACCAGCATGTGCCTTCCTCCCTCCATTTACAGACACTGAGGTGCCTTCTTAGGTCATACATTCCTAGTGTCTAGAAGTGGAACAGTTACAACTGTCTGGGTAAAGCTGCCAAATTAAATGTTCCCCATTTCCTCACTTAAAAAAACCATAAACATACAAACAAACAAACAAAACCCAGGCCCCGTGACCCATAGAGATTGTGTAGCAGAGAAAAATGCACCAGGCCTTCTTGCCCCAGGGTCTGTGGGTTCCCAAACTTAGAGTCTATTCCACTCAATACAGTTTCCTCTTCCTACAGGTCTAAAAGAGCTCCGTAACTGGAGAGAAGCCACTCACCACAGTGCTATGACCTATGGACAGCAGAGAGCCTGTCTCTCCATCACTTCTCTCTACCCAGTGCATGGCTAGTCCTAATGGTCTCTGTTTCTTCTGAAAGGTGGCCAACCGTGGTCACATCAGCTGCTACCCCTCCTGCAGGATGATGGGCAAATCATGGTCCTGAGACAAAAGTAACTCCAGAAACAAGAATACTTTAAGAGCTGGTCAGAGTCCTCACTGAAGCAGCTGGGATGGCTCTCCTAGCTTGGTACTGTAAGCTGTGTGGAGGTACTATGCTCTTCATCATGTGCCACGCCCCAGCCTGCTCACCACACCCTTCTTGTCTTCTCCAGCTTTAGGCTGGTGAGTTCTGAGTTTACCTGAGCTCTTTTATTTCACATGTAGTCCAAGTAAGACTACAAAGTAAGTTTGTAAAAACAAACTTACCACCATCTTCCCAAGGGAATTTCATAACTCAGAATACTTACAGGAACCTGGAAATGGATGTGTAAATATTATTTAACGAACGACTGTAAAAAGCAGAATTCCTAGATGTATTTTTTTTGTATGCTTTTCATTGTATATGGAAGAACTTGTGTCATTACATATCAATAAGTAGTTCAAGTTTACACAGACAAATGTTTTGAATGTTAAATAGTATAAAAGGTGTTGGATGGTTTTCAAAATAAAATGTACTGTATTGAAAGTAGTAAGAGACCAAAAAAATAATAAAGTAATAATACTGACATGAAATGCCATGAGGATCATGTGACTGAGAATTATTTCAGAGGTTTAGAGACTCAATGGCTACGACGAGAAGTTGGGGTGGGTAGGAGACAAACAAGTCAGGAGAATTACCACACTGCTTCTGGGTTTGCCCTCCATCAAGGTGCATCATGTAGGCTTCCTGTGACTGGGGAGGCAGAAAGGGAAAGGCCTGAGTCTCAGTGGACCCTGCCCTGGTTAGTTTTCACCGTCACCTCCACACAACTGAGAGTCCCTGGGAAGAAGAGGGGTGTGGGCAGATTAGACTGGCCTGTGGCCATGTGTGGGTGAGCATGCTAACTGATGCTCAGGCCACTCAGGGCAGTGCCACCCTGAGCAGGAGATCCTGGGTTACATAAGAAAACTAGCTGAGCATGAGCCAGGGGAGGCAAATCAGAGTGCCAGTCAGTAAGCAGCCTTCCGCCATGGCGTCTGCTCCAGCCTCTTGCCCCAGCTTCCTGTCCTTGGTGATAGACTGTAAACTGGAGGCATGGGCTTAAATAAGCCCTTCAGGTTAGAGCATTGGTCACCCCAACAGAAAGGAAACCAGAACAGACTCCTAGATCCAAGTTTCTCTAAGACATCTGCCACGATGCTGCACAGAAGACTGCACAGGAGGCAATCAATTCATTTCCCTCCTAGCCCTGTGTCTTCACCTCTATCTTATAGACTTGACTGTACCATCATCCACCCATATCCCCAAACAAGAAACCCCCATTACCACTTCTTCCTCACCTCACCGGTTCCGTGAGTGAACGAGGAGATGCCTGCAACACAATTAGTTGTATAAATTCTTAGCTTCTGGAATGTATGAAGAGTTCTAACGGGGGTTTGCAAGATGGCTCAGCAGGTGCAAGCACCTGACACAAAGCCTGAAGACCCTAACCCTGAGTTCAGTCCCCAGGACCCCTGAGGACAGAAATGTCATCATGCCTGCAAGCTGTCCTCTGATTTCCACTCCCATCCCAGATAATGTATCCACACTCCCTACCTCTACTCAACGCACACACAGTAAAAACATCTAAGGAATTCTCACGGAATATTCTATCTATCATTATATATATAATTATAAACACACACACACACACACACACACGAATATATATTCAGACCAACAGCTGAAAAATAGTAAGAATTTAACAGAAGAAAAAAAGCACAAGCCCCTGATGGGAGAAGATGCTCAACCTCATTTCTAATGAAGGAAATGTGCACTCAGATCCCTAAAGACTTCATTTCGTTGATAACCCTGACGGCAAGAAAATAGAGCTGTGAAGAAAGTCCCTCCACAGCCAGTGAAAATGGGTAGTCACCACTTGTGTAGCAAACAGTCTGATACTAACTTACGAAGCTGGACGCCTGCTCATGTTCTAGTGATTCTGTTGCCATAGAGGAATTCATCTCTTGCATAGGACCCATACAGGGATATTACAACAGCGCTGGCTGATCGTCAGAGCTGGCGGGAAGAGCGTACTACTGAAGATACCAGACACTAGAATCGGGCTGGAGGCTTCCTCCTGCACTGGTCCTCACAGCGAGTGAACATGCTGAGGCTGCTGGGAAAAAACTGTCAGCAATAGTCCTACCTAGTTTTAGACCATGCATGCAACACTACCAATTAGAGGCAAGGTGTGCCCATTCATGCAATAGCTACAGGGCTACTTGGGGATAACCAGAAGCTCTCTGGTGGGATCTGAGGCTCGCTCTGCAGGAGCAAATAATTGTCTGCTACTGGGAACCCAGTCGGAAGCCCATAGCTGAGGATACTGGAGGTCCTAGTGGGCCTATCTATGTCCATTATTACTAACTGGACATGATATGTCCATCAGATTACCTCTTGGTAACTCTGTTTATACCTTTCTAGTTCTAGTGGATTGCTGCTGCTGTCAGTTTTAGTGAGAAAATCTGCCCTCTGCAGTTGGAAGCAGAAACTACAAAGACTCATCTCTGATCAGATGAGTGATAGTCAAGTACTCAGCCAGAGTGGGGATGGGGATGGCAGGAGATCACACATGTACACCAGCACTCCGGAAACACTGTAGAAGAAAGGGCTGGCCGGGCAGTGGTGGCACACGCCTTTAATCCCAGCACTTGAGAGGCAGAGGCCAGCCTGGTCTACAGAGTGAGTGCCAGAACAGCCAGCCAGGGCTACACAGAGAAACCCTGTTTAAAAAAAAAAAAAAGAAAAAGAAAGAGAGAAAGAGAGAGAGAGAGAGAGAGAGAGAGAGAGAGAGAGAGAGAGAGAGAGAGAGAGAAAGGGCTGGAAGTGTGAGAGCAGGACGGATTGGTGTGGAACACTGACTTCTGAGAGGGGGCTCCATTGCACTCTTAAATGCACAGCAGCTACGACCACCTGAACGAAACCTGCACAAGAGCTCAGAGACTGCACGCCCCACCTGGGGGATTTATATTGTTCTTGGTGAGGGGGAATTCCTTCAGTGGAACAGTGTGTGGAGTGGATGGAGTCTATGTGTACCGTGAACACGAGCACAACCATGCCTCAAACCCATGGGCACTTGCAAAGCCTTCCTGTGGCCCAGTTCAAGTGTTCATAACTGATTGACCAGTGTGTGCAAGAACTAGAAAGCTCAGCTCCTCGCTCCTGGATGACCTGAGGCTGGCCCCCTACATACATAATAGCATATGTTGAGTTTCTGGGTTGCACAGTAAAAGACACCACAGCCCACCTGATCCCAACTTTTCTGTATACGTGTCTGTCATGTCGTCATTTCCTTATCCCCCTAGTCAGGTTTCCAGAACCAAGCCATGCAAGACATAGTGGTACAGCCACTGGTCAGGTGCCTAGGGTCTCTAAACAACTCTAATGAAACACACTGGGTTATTAAAACACACACACACACACACACACACACACACACACACACACACACACACACAGAGGCACTAGCTGGGAAGAAAAAGGGTAAGAATAGGAATAGTGGGGGTTGAAGAGATGGCTCAGAGGTTAAGTGCACTGACTGCTCTTCCAGAGGTCCTGAGTTCAATTCCCAGCAACTACATGGTGTCTCACAACCATCTGTAATGGGATCCATATGCCCTCTTTTGGGATATCTGAAGACAGCTACAGTGTACTCATATACATAAAGTAAATAAACATTTTTAAAAAGTAAGATCTAGCCGGGCAGTGGTGGCGCACGCCTTTAATCCCAGCACTTGGGAGGCAGAGGCAGGTGGATTTCTGAGTTCGAGGGCAGCCTGGTCTACAGAGTGAGCTCCAGGACAGCCAGGACTACACAGAGAAACCCTATCTTGAAAAACAAAACAAAACAAAAAAAAGAGAATGTCTTAAACAAAGCAAATGTAACATTTTATTTGTGTAACAAAAGACATTTTTAAAAGGTATGACTTGGTACCCAACCTCATAAAACCCAGAGGAAGAGGGCCTCCCAGGAGCTTTAACTCAGGCAGTATCTCAGGTAAAATTGAATCACCCATGATGTCTGCTGTTAGAAGTTCTAATTCAGATGCTGGCCTTCGAACCTATACTACTCAGACTTTTGAAGGGCCACTGACAAAAGCATCAAACAGCTAGAGATTGACATCACTAATCTGAAGAAATCCCTGTCTGAAGAGACCTCCAAAAATTGCAAAGGACTTCCATTGGACTTGATTTACTCTTTTACAATAGAAAAGACTGTGTACAGCTCTTGACTGTGTAAAGCCCTTAAAGAAGATGGTTGCCTTTACATAGACAAGACAAGGAGGGTTAAAGAGAGCATGAAAAAGGTCAGAGAAGGCCCTGAGAAAAGACAGAGAGAGAAAGAGAAAGATGGGTGCTGGTACAAGAATTGGCTTTCAACCTCTCTATGGTTGTCAACCCTACTTCCTCCCATCTTGGGACCATTAATTGGGTTATTGGCTCAGCAGGTGCAGGCACCCTGGGCCTTAAATAGGCTGACTAACTTTTTGAAACAACAGATAATTTGGTAGCAAAACCTATTCAGATACATTATCATAAGTTAGCTATGGAGGACCACGAAACTCAAGATGAGGTTGTTGCTCTATCCAGGGTGTTCCCAAAACCCATCTCCACCCAACCTAAAAGAGGGGACTTTTCCCCCTAGACCAAGCAGAGAGGGGCCATCCAGAACCCCCTCTGACTGGTGATCTGATCTGAATTCTTGCTTAGGCTATGAGGCTAAGCACTGCAAGGGAATATAAATAAAAGTTAAAAATATCTCTCTTGGTTCCCTGAGGGACAAGCCTGAGTGCATAGGGGTTGATGTCAAAAGTATCCCCTCTCCAGGAAAAAGACATTGGGATGGGTATGGCCCTCATGCCTCACTGGACAACGACAGGGGGACCAGAGCCTTTACAAGGTCCCCTTCAATTACTGGAGGTCAGGCCTCTATCCCAGCCTTTGCAAGATTAGAATCGCCACAGCCCTTCTATACTTAGAGAAGGGAGGAGATGTCAGGGGTAGCCCTGCTTATACATTGAAGGCCTAAAATCAGCCATAGGCCTAAAATCAACAATAGACCTGTCATACATGTATACTAACACCAAGTCTTGGGTCTCTGTGGAAAAACATTGAAACAGATGGCTATAAGCTATTGTAAACAGGCAGCTTTCGTGGAAATTTATCAGCCTGAAGAGTCATAGACCTTGTAAATAGGTAGCCTTGGCAGATAATACCAACTTAGACAAGGACAAGTGAATCATTGGCAGAGTCATAGTGACCTGTCCCCTGAACCTTCACCCAGCAGATATCCAGTTCTGAAAGATATCTGCATTCCCCCTAAACACCCATGCGCCAGTGTCATCCCCTTCCCCATATCCTGCCTTTCTGTGTTTATAACCCCTATGTGAATAAGTAAAAATTACAATTTGAAAATAAATAAATAAATAAATAAATAAATAAATAGATAAAAGGTATGATTTACTTAAAATACATAATTCTGAAGAGAGAGACGAGAATGTGAGGCACTGGGGACACACCCAGGGCCTCTGAACAATCTCTCTCTCTCCCTCCCCCTTCATTTTGAAGGCAT